TATTATAACTTGTGAAATTAGAAAAGACTAGGCAGGTTGGTTATGGCAAAGTTTGATAAATTTTTCTATAAGAGGTTTTTTTATATGAGAACATGAATAAATATTTGATAGATTTTTCTATAAGAGATTTTTGTATTAAAGTTCGCAATCTTAGTTTATTATTTCATAGAACGATCATTTTTTTAGAGAAATTTTAAAAATGTCATTTTTCAAGTGGCACTTTACAAAAATGTCATTTTTTTTACAATCTTTGCAAAAATGCCATTTTTCAAAATTATTTATTTATTATATCATTTATGTTTGGGTTAATTATGTTGTATTAGGGTTTAGTTTTGAAGGTTTAAAGGGTTTTAGGGGTCTAAAGATTTTTTAGGGTTTAGAATTTTAAGATTTAGGCTCTAAAATATCATAATTAGTGGCATTTTTGCAAATGAACACAAAAGTGGTATTTTTGCAAATGTGGACACAAAAAATGGTATTTTTGTAAATGTGGACACAAATGTTTGGGTCAAATTTTCATGAAATAATCTAATTTTGTCTTTTATTTTTTCGTGTTTAATTTATTTTATACAAGTTATAAAATATTTAAGGAGTAAAAATATTTCAAATATAAATATGAGGGTAAATTTATCAACATTTTAAAAATAGATTTTTGAATAGTAAAATAGTAACTAATTTAAATAGGAATACGAAAAACTAATAATTTGAAAATATGTGATAAATTTAATTGTAAATGAAATAATAAAATGATCAAAATTAATAAATAAATAATATGCTTTTCAATCATTTATTTTGCAGTAACGTTTTTATTTTTATTTTATTCATTTTAACGGGTGATCTAATTTTGTTTTTGTTTCACAAGTATACAAAAGATTAAATTGCAAACCCTAATCTAGTATAATATAATAGATCAGGTTTAGAAAAATTAGGTTTCACACCATCACTATTCACTGTCGTTTTCTTTACTTTAAAAGGACGCAAATGTTAGGGTTTCCTTACCATTTTAAAACAATCGAAAAGTCAACCGGCAAAAAGCGTTGTTCCTTTTCTCTCTCCACTTGTTCTCTTCCCCCTCTGTATTCTCTTTCTCGTCCGATAAAGATCAATCCTATCAGGATCCAGCGTTAGGGAAAGATCACAGTGTAGGTGCAAATTTCTTTTTAGTTAAAAAATAATAATCTTCTGGAATTAGATGATTTGGTGAGTGATGATACGAGTTTCACTCTGTGGTTTGATTTCGTCGAGCTTCTGTGTGTATACTTGGCTAGGGATTAACAAATAATCGACGATTAGGCACTGTTTCTTGGTTAAATTGCTCGCTAAAACGTTTCTACTTGATGTTTTCAAATAATTTTATTACTTTTAGCTTCTGTATTCTACCTCTTGTATTTTCAGTATATAATGGTAGTCTTGATTTACAGATTGGAAGTGGGAAAACTCACACTATGCTTTGAGATATCAAGGGAGGAACACGTAGACATAGTGTCAACTGCGGGATGCCACCTAGAGTTTTTGAGTATTCGTTCTCAAGGATTCAAAAGGTTTGCTGCCTTAATTTTTCTTGTATGCATATGTTTCTGCTGTGTTTTAACGTATATGTCTTTTCTGTACCAGGAAGAGGTCCGCAAAGAGGAGAAGGTACATTTTTCTCTCGTAGATGCTCATTTCTGGAGATATAAAACGAGCAAATCCTTGATTTGTTGGATCCATCTTCTTATAATTTACAGGTACACATACCAAATACATAGATGAAATAAAACTTGTGATATGGAAGTTGTATTTTATGTGAGATTAACTAAACCATGCTTAACATCCTCTTTCGCAGCTAAAAGACCACAAGAAATGTATTCATGTTGAGAATCTAAAGGATATTGAAGTTTTAAGTGCCGGATATGTGATTCATTAACAATTAATATGCAGGTAACTGATTTGGCCTTTTCATTTTTTTCTTTTATAATTCAGACTTTGTAGCTGTTTTAGATGAAATACTTTGCATGCTAGATGCTCTTCATCATAAGGCATTGTGTTACTCTGAAACCCCACATGAATAACTCCTCCTCTCATGGCAACATCATGAATTGGAAGTGGGAATTGAGTAAGACTCTGAAAACAAAATGATACATAATTAAGAACATAATTCATTCATTACAAACATAACAAAAAAAAGTAACATAACCTCGCTAGATTGTGCACTCCACAAGACAAACTATATGAAAAACTCAACCATATGAACCAACTGCCATCATTCCCATTCTTATTTGCTAATTCATTTTTAAAATTCCAAAAACATAACGCCACATATAGCCTTTAAACAAACTTAAGCATGTTTACCACATTCTCCATTAACACATATTTGGTTTTACGGACTCCGTAATATGTGTTGATGGAAAATATGG